TGGTGTGACCTTCAGCTAATAAAGCCCACCCTAGAGTCCAAAGAAGCTTGGGGAATATTGACAAAAGTTCATATTTACAACGGCCTGGACCCTTTCCAGATACCATTACCAGTCTAGAGAGCTGCAGCCTCTGTACATACACTCACACAGGCTTTTATTCTGCCTGCTCCTTTCTTTCTTTGTTCCCATGCTGGCAAAAAAAAAAAAAATTAGTCAGAAAATGGCAATTCTTCTGCTGACAAGGCCCCACCAGCATCTTTTTTAATGAAGAGAGTTATTTGAAATTGCAATTTCAACCTCAGCGCTATCCTCTACTTGAAGGAGATTCAAGGCCTCTTGCAAGGATTCTTGGTGCGTCATCGTGCTCATCAGGAAGAAAGCATATGTGTTTTTGTGGAAAATCTGCTGATTTATTTATAATTCTTTAAACAAAAAGGCAGCCAACATATTGTAAAATGAGAACGTTGTTGGTTTTTTTGCACTGGCAATCAACACAGCCCATCAGAAACACAAACCCAAAGCGTTTTCAGGCAGAAACTGATCCCCCCCAGTCTGCGTTGTGGTTGGCAAAATGACGTTTAGCCCATAACTAGAGTGCACAGGCATGACTGAAATACAAATAATAATAATATTTTAAAAATTGTTCATGCAGTGAAAAAAGCCAATTTCAAAACATAAAAACTGTTTGAAGCTGAAGTTTCATTTTTCTGACTCCCAAAATAGTTCCAAAACAAATATATAAAAATAAAGGTTTGGAGGAAATCTGTTTTCAAGGGTAATTTCACTGAAACCAATATTAAATCTCAAAACATTTAATGGAAATAACATCTTCAGTGACAGAACTGTTCTGACCGCACTTTTCAATCCAGCCATGCCAGTGTGCCATTTTTATTTATCTGCCTCATAATTCATCTTTGCCATCCTGAAACTAATCCTGCTGGGGCTCAAAAGGGATCCAAAAACTGGAATAGGTTAGAATTTCTCCCAATAACATCTTCTAAAAGATGCCTCTGTATCGTGGTGGTCTCGTTTCCCGTGCCAGTATTTAACAGGCAGGAAGAAGGCTGAACAGACCTCTACAAAGACCACAGATTTCTCACTTCTGCAGCTTTTCTTTCCAGTGAAGAACCCGTTTCCACCCACTGCTACAGTTACATCAGCTACACGGGCTCACCAGCAGTTTTCAGTTTCCTAGTTTTGGCCCAAGCAGGCTTTTTATTCTTTCTCCTCACCCCATCCAGCCACACTCGCTGTCAGAAGAGCCCAGGTGACTGATTACAGCCTGTCTGAATCCAAAGTAGTCAAATTAGATATTAATGTTGTGCTTAATGTGCTCACACAAACAAGGTCATTGGTTGCATCAAGACTAATAGGAGATGACACACACTGGGACTGCACCACCCAGGGTGTTCCTCCATCACCTCAGGACAGAGATGCCATTGCCTCAACTGCAGCCACATTTCCATCATGGCCAAGGCTTCCCACCCTTCATCCTTGTTCCCAAAAGCAGCTGCAAATTGCACTTGTCCTCCCTCTTGGGGTGAGCTACAAAATCAATCAGCAATACTGAAACCAGAAAGTGGTGTAAAGTATCAGAAGAGAAATAAAAAGAGTCAATAGTGCCATCAGAAAGATAAACCCGAGTTCATCCTGGAAAAATATCAACTAATCCATCTGTGGGGAAGTAACCCTGGACCACGATACTCTGCGAGAAAACTGGAGAAGTGAAAGGTATTGGGCTCCTCCAGCAGGAATCTGGAGCTCTGCTTGGAAAGCTGGAGCCCAGTAGGGTAAAATAGCCATTATCAGCCCACCCGAGGTCATGGAGATGCAGAAAAGGCTGCTGAAGCAAAGTAAAACACATTTTTCTATGGATAAGAGAAGGCACTACAAATGATAACACTTAATACTTGGAATCAGTGTGCAGGACCATTTCTCTACTCACTGTTCCAAGGATGAGAGGTTACGTCTCCTGGCTGCCACCAGGGCCCCAGCTAAGTGCTTTTCATTGCCTAAACCTTTAAACCAGCATTGTTTTATTTATAATAACAGTGAGTTCCTACTGAGAAGCTCCAGAGACAACTGTGCCTGGCAGTAATTTTATACCTGTTTTCCATGGCAGAACCCCCTGGCTCTCAGGAAACCATGGGGTATTAAGTGTATCCCAGAGGAACAGGCAGATCCAGGACACATCCTCTGCTGTGGTGGATGGGCAACTGCTCCCAATTTCTGCCCTCTTTACTTCCAAACCACAAACACTCAGAAAGTCTTGCTCTTAGGGTATGATTTTAATAACGAATATTGGAGTTAAAAGGCTGAAAAAGCAAGCAAGGTCCATTCTGAGAGGGTGTGATAATCCCACCTGTGGCTGTCCCCAGCACGCTCCCCTGCACCCTGCCTTTGAGCACAAAAATGGGAGACCTAAATGGCCTGCTCGTGATGCTGCACAACCTGGTGCAAGGCTTTGTCCTCCTTGAGTGAAGAGGCAAAAAAAAAAAAAAAAAAAAAACCAGAGGCAAAAAAAAAAAAAAAAAAAAAGAAATCAGGTTTTGAAACCACACAGAATTAAGACTCAGTATCAGCCAAGCTGGCGACTGGATCTTGGGGGCCTGTTTCCCTCTGAATTTCTCCCTGCTGCTGTGACGTGCTCACACTGAAAATTTTCCCTTGAGCAACTGCCTGACTAAAATACAGCACACCCTTACCATAAAGCCCTTTGTTAAAACATCTTTGCCATAAAGCTGCAAAACCTTGGCTCCCAAGTACATTAAATCCTTATAAACCTGCCTTCATTTTAACCGCGCAGTATTTCAAAACACAAAGCGCTTCTTCTGAGAGATAGCACTTTAATGAGGAGAGGGGTAAAATATATAAACCAAACCTCATTATAGCATAATTTCTAGGAGACAAGCATGCTGCTATAAAGAGAAGCCATGGAAATTGCACTTCACATAGCTTGAAGATTTAATACTTTTAAAAAGCCACTGCTACTTCCAGCCTTTGGTGGTGTTTTGTTTTGAACATAACAGAAACAAGCAGAATTATGGGTCCACTGTCAGCTATGTATTTTATATTCTGCAAATTGTTGCAAATGGTAGATTCAACCCTACCACCTGCTCACAGAATGTAATGTGCCAGTAAGAGCCTGACTACAAGTTGCTATTGTATACTATTGTATACTTTTACCTTTAAACCTCTGCATTCTTCAAGGTTGTTGCTTTAAACATGATGAGGTAGCATGGATATGGTAGATCACCCAAACCAGATCCAATTCATACTGGATTGAAAGTGCTTATAATGATACAGCTTGTTCACGTGCTAACAACAAAGCCAAAGAAACCTACCAAAAACCACACTACAAGAAAAATCTAGAGTATGGACACACAAATGAAAGCAATGGATATAATGCCATTTAATACCACCTGTCAGATAAATCAGGGTAACTGGCACACCAAAGGGACTGCAATTAGTTTCCAAAAATGAGAATGCTGGTTGTTTTTTTTTTTTTAATCTAAAACTCGATTGCTTTCTACAAAATGACAAGTGGATCAACCTCCCTCAGCCAACAAGAAAAATGTTACTGGAAAAAACTGTTCTCCCTAAGAGCAAATTATCTATCAAAGGAGCATCCTGAATTACATTGGTCTACAAGACTTTTAAACTTAATCTAATAAAAAAATAAGCCATTATTGATTACAGTTCTTCGACATTAGTCTTCCAGTTGTAACTTCTGAAATGAAAGCTTAGCAATTATTAGGTATTTACTACAATCAGTAGAGAAAAATAGTGCAAAAAGATGAGCATAAAGGCCACCAAAGAAACAATGTACTTTGGAGGAGGGAAACAAAACAAGCAGAAAACCCCAACCCCCCCCAAATAACCCCACCCCGAGCCCAACAACAGCAAGGGGAGATGCACTTCATGGCAGCTTTGACTTGAAGCACATGTAACACTGATTGATGGATACTGCAAGCGAAGACACCAGTGGAAAATTAACTCCAACCAAGCACCAAAACTGGGACAGGTTTTTTGTGTTCCTTGCTCCTACTTTAGAAAACTACGCAAGAATGGTCAGAATTTCAGGAAAGGATCGCTCCAGCTACTGTCACAGATCTGGGTCAACAGCAGGGTAACAGGTGACCTGTAACTGATGCCTATAACCTGGTTAGGATAAGCATTTCCTCTTATCTCTTTGTTGTGGTTTATAATGAATAATATTCTGGGCTGAAGGGTGCTTATTCTCCCTGATTACCAGAAGGTTCAACACTCACTACACGGCTACGCCGATGGAGTGGCACTTCTGAGTGCAGTTCTCAGAGAGGACATCTGAAGAGAACACAATACACCAAACCCTTTTTCTAAACACAGAATAAATGATTTTGCTTTGGGGTCCTGTTTCTGAGACACTTTGTACAATTTTCGTTTTTACTGACGTGACTCTTCTCTCCAGGTTTACATTAAATGGATAACAGGTTCTTCCTTCACCATCATCACTCTCTTATGAGTCACAAGAGACTTTTTCAGCTCTTACCAACTTTACCACGGCAGAAGAGAGTTGGCTGGACAAATCTGAGGCAGCACCTCAGCACACAAATTACCACAGGATGTCTGGTATTAAGGTAACCCAGCCTAGCACGTGCCTTCCCTTAACTTTAATATTCTTCTGCTTGGCTGTGCAACTAAACCTCGAGGAAAAAGACAGGTGCAAGCAAGTGCACATGCTACTTTCGTTTTACAATCTTCCCACTTCCTCCCTTAATAACTGAGGGTTTGGGGTGCTAGAAACAAGAAGCCTTATGACAAATGTGCAATGAGACCCTGAGCTAACAGGTTAGCTGACATGGAACTGTTAACAGTGAATTGGCTTGGAGACAGTGGGGGGGGAGGGAAAAATAAAAAGGGGAGACAGAGTGAGAGAGACAGACAGCAACCAATTCAGCTGCAAGAAATCAAGCTAAATCAGTCCCAAGTGCCCATGTTGGAGAGACTTGATCTCATACCTTGCTTGTTATCAAGGCACTCCTGATACGAGTCAGCTCCAGTTCCGTTGCGGTCTACAGACAAAACAAAAAGTTTCATTCATATCAAACATAAATATCAGAAACTTCTCAAATGGCAGCCGTGCTGGAGCAACACGTTACGTGCAAACAGTGCTAGTGCTTTTGGAGGCCAGGCTGGTTCGCTGACAGAACCTGTGACTGGTCACAAACAGGCTACAACAGACTGACACAACCCACTGTGAGAAAATTCTTCTAGTCTGGGCCAGTGCTTTGCTCCCAGCCCTGCCCATCTGTCTCCACACTGCTGAGGGCACAGGGAAGGGGAGTAGAGCCACAGCTGCCCTGAGCAAGTTCCTTAAGCACATGGAAGTTAAATCCACTGTTGCACTGTTCTCTGTAGGCTCTATGAAGGCGCTGGTTTGAACCAGTGGAACGCAAACTACCGAACAGACTTCTCGGGGTTCTGTGGTCCTGTTTGCTTTTTGGTTGCTACATTGTATTAAAGACAACCAAAAAGACAAGACCGTACTTTCCAAACATTACTTTTCCATGGAAGCAATGTTACTGTAGATACTGTTGGGGTTATCTGACCCAGCAGCAAGAGAGGAGCCAGTCTGTGCCACAAAAACGGGCAGAAGCTGAGGCTCCTGTACTCTGAGTGCTCCACACAAGGAACAAACCAGACAGCTCCCAAACACAGGTGTGGTCACGCAAGTGGCCCCTCACATCCAGCATGGGCATCACCTAACAAAACCCTTCATCTGCACTAGAGGTTCAATTATATCTCCCTGCCTGAGCGTAAAAATGGTTTAACCTGTAGGTTTGCATAATCGGGTTACAGTGTGGCTTGGACCTCAAAAGCAAACCAAAGAATGTTCCAGCATGGCTTCTGCTCCTGGCTTTACAATTCAGTTCAACCACAAAAACTGTCAGGATGGTCCTTGAGAAAAAAATGTTAAATACATCTGTAAACCCTGGATAAACGAATGTCCTTTCAGCAGCTCACATGCACCTTACACACCTTGCTACCTATGAGGAGTAGAGCAACTGAGCCCACTAGACAGGTGTGTGCACAACCTCAAAAAGTGACATTTTGTACATCACACATCTAAGAATGCACATGGTGCTAAAATCAGCCCTGTTGTTTAACTACCAAACCATTTGATCAGGTCATCCGTGGCATGTACTCCTACCATACCAACTCCAATGGCACTGGACACAGTTTTATCCATGTGGTGATCACAGCTAATAAGGAAGCCACTCATCTAGGCTGAACTGGGTGGCCAAGGCATCCTGTAATAGCATTTCAGTCTCACCATGGAGAGAACCAGAACAGCAGCAATGTGTTAATTTCTTTGTAAAGATGCTGTTCAGAGCCCGAAGTTTATAAATATTGTTCACAACAGGAAAAACAGACGTCCAGGAGAACCTTCCCACCCAGGCACCTGCAAACAAATGCATTTCTGTCCCTCCAACAAGCCACTGGTCCCTGACTATGATGGCTTTCTGGCATTGCTCACGTGTGGCAAACGCATTCCCACATCAGCTGCCTTTTCATCTTTGCTCAACCATGAGCTGGTGATGGCTCCTTGAAGACGAAGAGATCCAGATCCAAGTTAAAAGGCCTCACATTCAGCAGTAGTATTTAATGAACAAAGAAGCAAAAATTGAAGTTGCCCCAGTGTTTGTGTTGTGTAAATCACAGATAATAGATCTCCCTAATCCTAATGAGGCCTTCCTATTAAAATCTTTATTAGCTTTCAGCTCTGCAGATTGCCCAAAGGCTCATCAGTTTCCCTATCTCGCAGTACCAAGATCTGCTTTAACTTTTACAAATAGCTCTAAGATATTTCTCAGCTTATCAGCATTGCCAAGCAGCCTGTCTTATCATTACTATTGCAGATAAAATAAATGAGCTCACGATGATATGAATAATGGCATTTTCTGTAGGCTGGTTTCCCATTACATTTTCAACAGATTGTAGATTTAAACTTAAGCACAAAAGAAAAAAAAAAAATGGAAGCTGGGGGGGGAGGCAAAGGGTGGATATTTTTTCCTTCCCATTTACCTTCAGTGTCTCAGAGCCCAGGCTGCGTTTTTAAGCTCACCTGATGAGAGCTAGTAATTACTTTTGAAAGGGAGCAGAAACACCTCAGCTCTGCTTTCTCTGAAGACCAAAAGCCCGGTTACTTCTGGGATGTTTTTTCAGCTGCATTTGCTGGAGAGAAGCAAGGGCTAAACCGCGCTCTGCCTAATGAAGCCATCTTCATTAGCTTGCTCCCTTCCCCAGCAGCCCAGGAACACCAGTCAGATTGGGAATTGAAATCATGAAAAGCAACAGAACTGCATTTGAATTAAAAGGCTAAGCTACAAAGGTCTCCGACGGCTGCTCCGGGCTGATTAGCACGAGGCGCGTGTGGCACCATTGCGGCACAGAGCGAGTTTTCCGGAGCACGTTCCTGGATAAAGGCAGCGCGGCCGCGGGAGACGGGGAGGCTGCAGGACTGACACGGCTCTGCCTTCCCCTCCCGGCGAGCAGGGAGGTCATGTTCTGGCAACCATTTTCTGCCCGGGCCCCGCAGCAATCACTACAGGGTTAAACGCTTTTCCGCTCCCCAAATTCCTCGCCCTGTCACTGTATCAAGGTTATCTATTATTGGCAGTGACAGGTGAAAATTAATCTCCTAATTATTTCTTGCTGCGTAATCTGCACTGAAGGAGTAACGTAAAAGGATTACAGTACACCCTCTACGGAAGGCTTTGCTAGAGAGCCAATCATCCAGGGAGATAGAGGGGATGTGGGAAAGAGATATTTATGACAGATTTCCAACCATTTTGAAGGCAGACTGTACTATAACTTTATAACCTACAGCTCTGGAATGAGGATGTTCTTGCAGGTATCTTAACAGCCTAAATGCTTTTCATTGTTGATTCTTCCAGGAAAAAAACCTCCAAGATTTATACCCATCGTGACCCGTCTAGGTACAGATGTTTTTTACCCCCCAGAGAAACCTTATGGCAAAAAATGTATCCAGCCTGCTTCCACTCAGTATTAGAAATCTCGTAGCTACCTTCCACAGCAATTTCACTGCAACGTTTTTTCCACGAGATCACGAGCTAGACTGAGTACTTTCAAAAATAAAAGTATTTTTTAAAAAACCTTCATTTTGTAAGCAAGCTAGAAATATCTTTGGTAACAACACAAACAGGCACCTTGAAATGCTGGCTTTGTGTAAACTCTAACTCTCCTCCTACCATTCACCAGAAAGTAAGGTTTATTTTTACAGTATTAAGGAATACCCATTTTATTTATCTTTAACCCATTCCATGCAGCCATATAAGGTACAAATGGATGATCTGGAGAACCTATTTTTCTATATCCATGTCAACAGCACCATCCTAGTTGAAGTTTACAAGAACAAGCAATCATAGGTGGTGTTTCAAATTACATTGGCTACCTTAAACGATGCTGTTGTGCTAACCCATGCCTTGAGATGGTTAATGCAGGGGGTCACCGTGAAACCCTGGCAGGTAACGGGACAGGGCAGCAAGGGAGATCACAACCCGTAATCAAGTCCTGCCGCCAGCATCAGTCACATTTATTTTCCAATTTCCTTGATGGCAACCTTTTCTAGACGGTGCAGAAACGCGACCAGTTCCTTTATGCAAACTCTCAGTGCTTAAATCCAACGCCACGTTCCCCCTTGCTGGACAGCCAAGCCCTGACACGAACTCTGGCCGCGGTCAGCAGTGACCGGCCACCGCTCTGGCTCGCGTTCCCACCGGCCGGGATGTCCCAGCGGAGCCCGCCCCGGGTGAAGCGGGACAGGTGAGCGCAGCATCCCGAGCGGGGCGCGATGCAGGACGGAGGAGCCGGGGCCGTGCCGGGAGCGCAGTGCGCGCCCGCGGCCACGCGGTGGCGCGCGCAGAGAGCACCGCGAGCGCTCCCGCTCCGCGCCGGGGCCGCGCCAGGCGCGCTCCCGAACCCAGCGCGGCCGCCGTCAGGGGTCACTGCGCCTCCGCGGAGCTGGGACCGCGCACGGGAGGAACCCGCCAGGCTGGGACGCGTTTGCAGCTCCAGGGACAGGAGCCGGACTGAGCCGCCCGAAAGGCTGCTGAAAGCACCGGCGCTCGGGTTTTTAAACGAGCAGCTCAAATTAGGCGAATTCCCCAGCAGTGACAGAGGTGTTACGGTTGTTCGCCTTTCCCTCTGTTGGTTTTAACACCTCTGGGCCAGGCGCTGTGGCCGCCCGGCTCCCGGAGCCTCCCGGACTGCGAGCATCGACAGTGCTGAAGGGCAGCTGTGTGGAAATGAATGATTTTCCCCTTTAAGGCAACTGCTACTAAAAAACTAAGGCTGTATTTCAGTAATTTTTAATAAGTGCCTGCTTCTCCATCCGAAAGGCAGCTCCTAAGTGATCCTTAGGATATCACAAGGACTCTGAAAACACATAATCGGCTACTAAGTTTCAATGAATCCACACATCACCTATATACATTTCTATATATTCCATTTGCACCAGCACCAGATAAGACAATTCGTGTTTACATCATTGAGGCAAGAGATTTTCTTCTCCTCAGGACCTATTTTTAACAAATAAACAGAAATAATTTAACAAAGCCTAGACGAGAACATAAGCTCTTAATGGTTTACCCTTGGAGTTAAGTAAATGAGGAAATTATTCACTGGCATCTCTCATTTTGTGGACGTTTCAATCCTACAGTTACCTGATCTCTTGCATAGTAGTTATGAGAACAAAAGAAATATGTATAGAGGCAAAGCACCCACCTACTAACATATCAGCGCTACTTCTAACAAGCCTGTTTTCCAGTAATATGTTTTCCTTATGGAAATCTGAAGAACAAATTCCTATCCATAGGCATTTTCCCCAAATGCTCCATCATCAACCTCATTATGCGATACAGAAATTCTCCCAAGGGATATTATGTAATGGCAATCCCTCCTTCCTCCCCCTAAGGAGCATATTTCTCATTACATCTCCTAGTAATTGATCAGTCTAGGAAATAATTTCTGGTAAAACCATATGTTTCTT